GCAAGACAGTGATGGAGTGAATGATGTTGATGAACCTGCTTCTTTCTCAGGTCACACTGTCTTGGTGAGAAACAGTCAATGTATTAAAAAAATGGTGAGAACTTCACTGAACCAGCCATAATTAATGCTGCTGGCTTTAGTCTCCCGACACATCACTAGGTGCATAGTATCTGTAACTATTTACGTCTTCACATTAACTTAAACCGTGTTCTTAGACATGTTACTTTATATAGTGTGCATATTGTAAAAGCAATAATAAAAAATACCATCTGGTGTGTTACTGTGCTAAACTTTGTTCCGATAATACTAGAACTGAGCGGCAAACTCAACCTAGTCAGCGACTGTCTTAAACTCCCTAGTCCCTACATAAACCAACTTCTGAGAGAAGGGAGACGATAAGCACATGTTACATGAACAAAGCAGTTGTGAAAGCATAGTATAAAGCATAGAGAGAGAGAGAGAGAGAGAGAGAGAGAAAGAGAGAGAGAGAGAGAGACGCATCATATGGCCTAACTAGGGACAATTGACACGTTCTCTAAATGAGATAAAAACTCCAGGTTCCAAAATCCCAACTACGAGAAGGTGTGGATGCCAGACAAAAAAAGTAGCACCAAGAGTAAGACTTGGCACCTGAATCATACTGAGTGCCTTGCCACACAACCATATAATAACAAAAATATTTAAATTTAATTAAGTCTCTGAGAACTTCGTTCCACAGAGAACAAATATGACCCGACTCACCAACGATCTCATATTCTGTCACAAAAATGAGTCTACTTGGCTAGAGGAGAGGGAGAAGTGCTTTCTCCACGATACCCAGCTAGAGAGAGAGAGAGAGAGAGAGAGAGAGAGAGAGAGAGAGAGAGAGAGAGAGAGAGAGAGAGAGGTTGACAGAGAGGCTTGAGGTAAGGTTCACGCCCAGTTCGCAAAACATTCAAGAATGCATCACAATCGGCAGACTAACAGACCAGCCTGTAGCAGCACGGGACAATCAGTCAATATTTCAAATTAGCCAGAAGAGAAAGTGTAATGTGTAGAACATCCTACGCATTTATGTAGCTAAATATTTAAGACAAATATTATTTTCGTATTAGTTATTAATGAAAATAACATAAGCGATAAATAAAAAATATGCATGTATCACTGTGCTTATTTTAAATACAAACAAAACGAGAAGGTATGTATAATCATACATACCTTCAATAGAACATAACCAATTATAATTAGTTATGTTCTATTGTCCATCTAGCACATAATCTGCTGCTAGTATACTAGACTAGGAGCTGAAATCAGGAGAAAAAAATACCTGTGAATAATTAATTCCATTATGAAACAGACTGAAAAACTATAGTATTATTAAACATATTAAAAGTGTGTTTGCATTTCCATATGACTTTTTAATAAATAATCAGAGAAATGTTTGAAATCTTCCCTTCATTCAAAATAATTAATCAGAATAATGTTTGAAATCTTCCCTTCATTCAAAATAATTAATCAGAATAATGTTTGAAATCTTCCCTTCATTCAAAATAATTAATCAGAATAATGTTTGAAATCTTCCCTTCATTCAAAATAAATAATCAGAATAATGTTTGAAATCTTCCCTTCATTCAAAATAAATAATCAGAGTTATGTTTGAAATCTTCCCTTCATTCAAAATAAATAATCAGAATAATGTTTGAAATCTTCCCTTCATTCAAAATAAATAATCAGAGTTATGTTTGAAATCTTCCCTTCATTCAAAATAAATAATCAGAATAATGTTTGAAATCTTCCCTTCATTCAAAATAAATAATCAGAGTTATGTTTGAAATCTTCCCTTCATTCAAAATAAATAATCAGAATAATGTTTGAAATCTTCCCTTCATTCAAAATAAATAATCAGAATAATGTTTGAAATCTTCCCTTCATTCAAAATAAATAATCAGAATAATGTTTGAAATCTTCCCTTCATTCAAAACGCATCAAAACTTAGAATACAAACTTAATTGTCTTTCTACAAATTGTCATATTTTTAATACATAACTTAAATACGTAAATTTAAGCTTCAAACCATTTCTTTTCTTTTATTAATTATGAAACAATTATTTTCCAGGCTAATGGCAGCTGTTTACCTAAATACATTTACATAAATAAATGAAATAAATACGGAGCGAATTTGTACTCTCGGTCCAAATTGACAATGAAAATTCTCTTCATTATACACGTAACTGTATGATGAATGATTGATTCAGGCTGAAAGAATGCACATTTCATTGAAGATCTATGTCAAGGAAGGTAACTCGTAGAAAAAGAAACACTCTCATTGTCATCATAATTCTAACATCATACATCAGATGACCCTCTGCACTGTGACATCTTTGTCTCTCCTTCAGAGTGCAGCCATAGTTCTGCCCACCACCACCCAAGTCCGGGTAACTGGTTTCACTGAATTTCTTCATCAAGATTACCTTCCATACACTCCAGTAGCATGTCAAATAATTATATAACACTTGCCTAAACTCACTTATATATAATATGTTCACACAAACCTCATTGATATTTAAGTCCCTAGCAGTTTAATGCTAGGGACTTACCACTTCCCTCCACCCATCCTAGCACGTTCCCTACCCAGCCTTCCCTCCACCCATCCTAGCACGTTCCCTACCCAGCCTTCCCTCCACCCATCCTAGCACGTTCCCTACCCACCCTTCCCTCTACCCATCCTAGCACGTTCCCTACCCAGCCTTCCTTCCACCCATCCTAGCACTCTGAATATTCAAGCCTCCACAGCAACTTTTGGTAACCCCTCTACTTCTTCAAATTCCAATTTCTCCGCATATTATTCACAACACTAATTACTCTGAAACACCATAATACCACTGCTCGCAACCTCCGCCTCACTGCAACGCTTAAAAATAATCATTCACACCCATATAACAGTGTTGATACACTATACTTCAGAATATTTCCAGTTATTGCCATCAAGGATAAGCTTCTTAGTCTCCACAGATGTCTCAATGCACCATCCACCTTTTATCTCTCGTCAATTACGCGATTAACTTCCTCCTTCGTAAACCCATATGCCAACATGTCAACCCCTTAATCAATTTATTTCTCTTATACTCCCTTCCATCAATCTGATATGCAACCTTTCGTTGCCTAGAATTTTTCAATACTTTCATTACCTTGTTCTTGCCTATGGTCACTTTTATTTCATAATCTCCCAAATTCGTCTTTCATCCTGAGCAACTTCTCTTCATCAACCTTGTATTAGTCCTCTTTGAACGCAACACATCTTCCCATCTATAAATATTAAACATCAATGGAGACATCAAGTATCCCTGTCTTAGGCCTACTTTTTCTGGAAAAGTGCTCCACTTTCTCTGACATACCATAACAACTTGAGCCTAAGTATGCAGAGAAATGCTATTTTTCTGTTTTTATTTTATTATTTTTATTAATATATTAATAAAATTCGAAGAGAACCATTCCTAGTCCATTCATCTGCCAAATCTGTTACGTTGCGCCTCTATCCAGTCTATTACGTAACCTTCCTAAATTGTTCATTTATATATATCAATGGAAGCAATGAAAAAAATATGTGTAAGATAGACAAAAAATATTTTTCCGGTCCTTCCCCATTATTAATAATTATACGCTTCTCTTAATTAATTAGAAATGTTTCTTGGGACAAGTAATGACTGTTTATAAGGGCGTTCCATAAACATTATAAATGAAACTGAAAAAATGAAGAGGAATATATTGGAGGATATAGATTTAGTTCTCTCAAGTTGAAACTGACAAGTAACCACACCGTAAACAAGAGATAGTCCATATTTTCAATGAGATGCGGCTCTCATATCAAATGTTTCCCATTTCTTGAGCGCGGTGCACCCTGAAAATCCACTATACCGTTCGTGAGAATTCGTGGAACCGAGTCATGACCCAGACAAGTATGTTGCAGCCGAGAAATGCCCTAATGAGCACGGCCATTATTTTACTATTAATGGTAAACAAAGCCAGCAAGTAGATGAATAAATCATGTATTGATAACTTGGGTATCCCTACTGAAGTGATGTTAAGTTAACCAGATGCATTCTCATTCTAATACAGAGAATAATTATTGATCATGGTGGACGACGTGAGGATTCAACGTAAAAGAATCACTTCTGCAGTTTTGATAAAGCTAAATCACATGCATGAGGTTAGGTGAAGTAGATCATGCTAATAATTCTTTCAGAACTCTAATGCTTACCTAATCTATTGTATTAGCATGACCTAGTTCCACTTGTGGGCTACGTCCACCTGTGATACGCAGGTATCACAGGTGGACGCAGGTATCACAGGTGGAGACACATGTTACCACCTGCCTACATGTGTCTCCAGTATACAAGTCTTCATTCTCATGCATCTTCTTGGATTTATTAAGGACGAGTGGACTGAACACCTATCAAGGCTGAGGAACTGATCGTCTTAAATTTCCTTTTCATGTCTTTAATCACCTCCAGCATTTATTTTGTATACTATATTGATATATCCATATAGTGGTAAAACACCTCTGCCATGAAGATGCCAAAAATGTTACACATGTTTTGTTACACATGTTTTGTTACACATGTTTTGTATTGATTTATTATAATGAATCGTTTCTGTCAACGCAGCATCTTTGAATCTTAATACAGAGAATTTGCATCACATTTTCACTTGTTCTTCGTTAGTGTTTATTGTAAGTATTGTACTGATGTAGCTGCTGGTTGCCCAATGTCTCTACAATAAAGATAACCAGTGTCGCATGTGCTTCAGTCCCCTAATAAGTTAGATTTAAATTCGATATTCTCCTGTTTGTCTTGTGCTCATTACTTTTTTGCATCAATCTAAATTTTTGAAATTTTCGACGTCATGATTCATTTGCTGTAACTTCCCTCGTACTATTACTCTACCAGACTTTCTATCTCACTGACATAATTTAAATTTTCTGAGCCACGTGATGGTCCTAAGTAACTACTGGTATTCGGTAGGTGCTGGAGATATCTGGAGACTTACTTCAGGAGTGGGAGGATCCCAATCTTCTCTTCCCCGGCAGCAGCGGCGGCATCATTACCTCAGTAGGTCTCTCAGGTAAGAGGCGCTTCAGAGGGCAGAAACTATACTATATCCGCCATTGCTTAAATGACAACAGGTTCCAAAACTATGAATATTTTTTTATTCTTAAATTCATACACGATAAATACTTGTGATGTTATTACAAAATATTAAAATCCAGCTTTATATCTATACACCAATTAAAGTACATAGAGAATAGAAAAACTCAAATAAGCACAGATACTCTCACACACACAAACACACACACACACAGAGCAGCAACAAGGGTCACAACTGGAAGCTGAAGACTCAGATGAGTCACAAAGATGTTAGGAAGCATTTCTTCAGCCGTAGAGTCATCAGGAAGTGGAACAATCGGGAGAGTGATGTAGTGGATGCATGATCCTTACATAGTTTGAAGAAGAGATACGATAAGGCTCATGGAGCAGGAAGACAGTGGACCTAGTAGTGACCAGCGAGGCGAGGCCAGGAACTATGACTCGACCCCTGCAACAACAAATAGGTAAGTACACACACCCACACACCTGACGACACTAGAGGACAGTAAGGCTATGGAGGACATGAAAATGACGTAAAAAATACTGAGAGGAATTGAGAAGGTGGATAGGGGCAATGTTTCAGAGATGGGACACAGCAACAAGGGGCCACAGCTGGAATATAAGAACTCCGATAAGTCACAAGGATGTTAGGAAGTATTTCTTCAGTCATACAGTAGTTAGGAAGTGGAACAATCTGCAGAGTATGTGGTGGAGGTACGATAAAGCCTTCGGGGCAGGGAGTGGACCTAGTAGCGACCATCGATGAAATGGGGCCAGGAGCTGTGAAGGGCTAAGATGCTGAAAGTGGTGCTAGAAAACTTCATTCACCAACATGTTAGGGACACAACCAAAGTGAGAGGAGAGGATGAAGCAGCAAAGCTATGCCTTGTGTGTTCATCCTCTGAACAGTTCAGACAGAGGATTTTACACATGAAAGGCCCCTTTGCACTAGCAATCACATACTCCTAAGTTTCCAATACATAGTAGAGTTAACAGTGGAGAGTGAAGCAGCAAGAGAAGGACGAAAGAAACTTATCTTCGGAAAAGGGGACTACACAAGTATGAAGTAATTACTGCACGAGTTGCAGTGGGAAAGAGAGCTTGAGGGAAAGACAGTAAATAAAATGACAGAACATGTGACCACAAAGTGCACGGTGGCAGAGAAGTTCACGCCAAGGGGCAGGAGAAACAATGGAAAAACCAGAGTGAGCGCATGGTTTAAGCACAGGTGTGCAGAGATCAAATCCAAGGATCAAAGCAAAGGACTCAGGAAAACAAGGAGCTGAGCCAAGGAGCCTGAAATGAACTTGCATGGATAAGGAGAGAGGCCCAATGGAAATAAGTGAATGATAGATCATCGAAAACCAAATCTGACCCAAAGTTGTTATACAGCCACATCAGGAGAAAAACAACAAGGACCAGGTAATTAGGCCAAAGAAGGAAGGAGGGGAGCTCACAGGGAACAACCAGGAAGTATGTGAGGAGCTAAGCCCAAGATTCAGGGAGGAATTCACGGTGGAGACAAAGAGGCTTCCAACAAACCGAGGCAGTAGTGTGCATCAGCAAGTGCTGAACATGCTGCACATAACGAGGAGGAAGTGAAGAAACTGCTAGATGAACTAGATACCTTTAAGGCAGTGGTCTCAGAGGAAACAGATACACTATACACTGTGTGTGTCACTTACAACAACCTTCAATACATCTCTAGAAATAGGGCAACTGTCTGAGTTGTGGAAGACAGCTAACACTGACCCAATTTTTAAGAAAAGAGACAGACAGGCAGCAATAAACTAGATCGGTGTCGCTGACATGTAGAGTATGTAATGTTATGGAGATTACCAGGAGAAGAGTGATGGAGCACCTAGAAAAGAGCAGGCTCACGGACAGCTTCACGGAATGTAAATCCTGCATCACAAACCTCCTGGAGTTTTACGACAAGGTAACAGAAGACAGGAGACAGTTAGGGATGAGTAGACTGCGTCTTCTTGGACTGTAAGAAGGTTTTCGACACAGTTCTCCCCAAGAGACTGGTTGAAAAGCTAGAGGAGTAGGCAGGAATAGCAAGGAAAATACTGCAATAGATCGGGAATTACCTGATTGTAAGGAAACAACGTGCGTTGGTACGTGAAGAGGTATCAGAATGGGTGCACGTGACAGGAAACTACCACAAGGGTCAGTTCTAGATCCCGTGTTGTTTCTTGTATGTGAATGATATTACCGAATGGTTAGATTCATAGGTGTCGCTATTTGCAGATGATTTATAGTTAATGAGGCGAATAAAAGAGGACGAGGATCAAGCCTACAAGGGGATCTGGACAGGCTGAAAGCCTGGTCTGACAAATGGTTCATTGAATTTAACCCAGCAAGTGCAAAGTCACGAAACTTGGGTAAGGACAAATAAGACTAAGACGGAGTACAGTCTAGGAGGAGATCAAATGCTGCATATCTTTCTCAAGATATGCAGGGGTTAGCATCATACCTAGCACATCTGAGGAGCATATTAACAAAATAACTGCTGCACCATATTGGCGGCTGGCAAAACTAAGAATATCATTTCGACATCTTAGTAATGAGTAAATCACAACACTGTATACCTTGTATGTCAGAGCTCATACTGGAGTACACAGCACCAGTACAGAACCTATACCTGGTCAAACATGTCAAGCAATTAGAGAAAGAGCAAAGGTTTGCAACAAGACTAGAGCCGGAGCAAAGGAATATGTCCTACAAGGAGTAATTAAGAGAACTCAACCTGAAGACACTGGAGAACAAGAAGGACAGAAGGGGACATTATGAGGAATCACCCTACCATACACTTTACTTGGTATACTCAGTAGAATTATTTAATTAGAATTTATACTTTCTCTTTTGTTCCCCTTCCCTTTATATAAAAGAACTATTCACGCCTTCTGCTAGTCCCTAAGTACCTTCCCCTCTTTCATACATTTATTAAACAAAAGTACCAACCACTGAAAAAATATATCCCCACCTGCTTTTAACATTTCTGTCATGTTCCTATCAATGCCAGCTGTTGTAGCCTCTTTCATTCTACCCAATGCTTAACCTACCTCTCCTACATTCACTTTGTCTCTTCTTCACTTCTAAAAGACGTTATTCCTCCCTGGCCAATGCACGAAATCATTGCCTCCCTCATTTCATCAACATTTAACAGTTCCTCAAAATATTTCCGCCATGTTTCCAATACATCCAATTCCGTATATACTAAATCTCCTATTCTGTTTTTAACTACCAAATCCATTTGTACCCTAGGTGGTTTTCTCAACCTATTTATCTCACTCGAAATTTTTTTTATTCTTTACTCTCCCACAGCACTCTCTTCACCTCTCTTTTGCTATCCATATACTCCACCCTTCTTATATCACTTCTATTTTGTGAAAACCTCTCATAAGTGAATATTTTCTTCCTTATCACACCCTTTACTTCATCATTCCTCCAACTCCTCTTTCCTCCAGCACTCGCCCTTCTATATCCACAAACTTCTGCCCCACATTCTGACACTGTAGTTTGTAAACCATCAGACACCTCTTCAACCCCCTTACCTCCTAAACTCTCACTAGTGCACCTTTCTACCAATAGTTTATAAACTTTCACCTCTCTCTTACTCGCTGATGCCATTTTCCTTCCGACTCAACTACCTCTTACTCTAAACTGTAGCTACAACTAAATAATGAACTGCTACATCTGTTGCCTTTGAAGTTTAGCCATCAACCTTTTATCCACTTGTTCATAATCCAAAAAAACTATTTTCATTATCCCTATATCATATATTGTAAACTTATATTTTTTTCTTAAAATATGTATTACTTATTACCAAACCTCTTTCTGTACAAAGCGCAGTTAATGGCCTCCATTATCATTTACTTCTGGTACCCCAACCTTATCTACTACTCCTTCCAGAACAGTTTTTTTTAATTTTTACAACCACGATTAATCTCTCACTTGGTTCAATACTCTGCATGCACTCTCTCAACTTTTCCTAAACTCCCTCTCTTTCCTCTACACTTCTCTTTTCTCCAGATGTATGAACACTTATTATGACCCACTTTTCACATCCAGCCATTATTTTACTCTGCATAATTCTTGAATTTATACATTTATATTCTTCTCCTTCCTGCCATTACTGATCCTTCCTTAACTCTAACTCTGTTGGAAACCCCTGACCTAATCCCATTATCTCTCGCCACTGAAACTCTTCTAACCCCATCAGCTTTGTTTCACTTAAAGACAGAACATCCAGCTTCCTTTCATTCATAACATCCATGATCATGTCTTTATCATCGGTTTACATCCATGTACGTTCAAACATCTCAACTTAAAAGATATTCTTATTTTTAATAATGGATCCGGGAGAAGGGGTTACTAGCACATTGCTCCCAGTAGGCTTCTCCAACATGCTTGGCTTTCCGTGGAAGGATTTCTATTCCATTTTCCCGTGGAGATGATCAGGAACTGTTAAGAACATATCAAGCTGAAGTGAAGTGGTTCGCCGGTATGATCCCGCCCCGGGTCTTTTCCTGAGGTAACCCGTCAAAATATAAAAGGAAATTCGGACGAGTGTGTATACCTAAATGTGTACATGCATGTGTCTTGTGAGCTATGTGTAAGTAGAAGTAGCAAGATATCACTATTATCCCGTGTGTTTATGAACCAGAAAGTCTCCAGAACTCCTAACATCGTGTAAAACAATTACAGGTTTCCCTTTTACACTCATTTGGCAGGACCGTAGTACATCTCTGGGTGACTGCTGTCTACCATGACAGTAGTACATCTCTGGGTGACTGCTGTCTACCATGACAGTAGTACATCTCTGGGTGACTGCTGTCTACCATGACAGTAGTACATCTCTGGGTGACTGCTGTCTACCATGACAGTAGTACATCTCTGGGTGACTGTTGTCTACCATGACAGTAGTACATCTCTGGGTGACTGCTGTCTACCATGACAGTAGTACATCTC